GTGCATGGAGGGCACGGTCAGCCAGGGGTCAACCCCCCACCCCTCCCAGTCCCTGTGCCCCACCAGCACCTTCAACACCACGTGGGAGCCAGGTTTGACATCCAGGACGCCGGAGGGCCCAAGTGGCTCAAAGCTGGGGTCAGGGTAGTAGGTGAAGGAGGACCGGTTGAGGGAGCGGGCTGTCTGCACATGGTCCAGCAGGAAGCCAAACTCATCAGGGTGCTCGCCTTGGGCCCGTGGCTGGGGCCGCCCCGGGAAGATGCCAGGGGCCTTACACAGCATGGCAGTGTCGTTGATAACCTGGCATGTCTGTGTGGACAAAGGCGGGCAGTCCAGCACATGAGACCATGCATTACAGGGGCAGGGGCGGGGCGAGGGCAGCTGGCACTCACATTGGTGGTCTCGATGCCTCGGTACTTGGCCCGGACCCGGGGCTCTTGGACTGTCAGCAGGTGGGTCCCACTGACAGTGATGGCAGTGCTTCCGCTGGGGACAGGGAAGAGGGGCCTCAGACTCTGTCCCCCAATGCCCCCAGCCCAGCCCTGGAGAGCTATGAAGGCTGCAGTGGGAGCCTAGGGCCTCCTACAACTCAGGTAGCTGGGTGGGTGCCAGGTGCTCTGTGTCAGGAGGACCCTGCCCCCTCTGCCCGTAAGGGCCCAGGTTTAATATATTTTTAATATTTATTTCGGAGAAGGGGGGAGAGGGAGAAAGAGATAGAAACATCAATGATGACAGAGGATCATTGATTGGCTGCCTCCTGCGTGTCCCTTACTTGGGGACTGAGCCCACAATCCAGACATGTGCCCTGACCGGGAATCAAACCGTGACCTCCTGGTTCATAGGTCGATCCTCAACCACTGAGCCACACCGGCCTAAGGGCTCAGGCTTAGAGGAGGTATAGTTCCATCAGGCAAGGCCCCAGGACAGGAGCTTGGGGACCCATTCTCTCTTCTCTAGAGTCTTACTTGATTATACTCCAGGTGGGCTCAAGGCGAGTGACAGTAGGGTCCTGGGTGTACGTGTAGAGAACTCCGGGGCTGGAGATGTTAGCACGGTCAATGGCCAGGGTGATGGGGGCCTGGCTGGGGCCCAGGGTGGAAACGGGTGAGATACACACGATTGCTTCGGCATCCCTCCTACATGGCAAGTGGAGAGCTTTGAGTAGGTGCCCCAGGGCCCTCACCGGGCAACCAGATGCCCATCCAAAGACTGGCAGGGCCCTACCCACCTCACAAACTGGCACTCGCCATCTCTCATGATCACTGTGACCGTGCTGCCGGCATCTAGAGAACTTCCAGAGATGGTGAGCCTCGTGCCCCCAGAAGCTGGGCCCCGACTGGGACGCACACGGTCGAATGTCGGGGTCTGTGGGAGAAGCAGCCCTGAGGGGAGGGAGGAGGCAGCCCAGTGCGGGTCGCGCGCCCTCACAAGGGGTGGGTGTGGGAAGGGCCGGGCGGCTCACACACCACAAAGCTGTAGAGCTGCTCTGATTGCGTGCGGAAGTCGGCAGAACAGTCGCCTACACACAGCTCCACGGGCCCCGGCGGTGGGCTGGGCACCAGCGACTCCTCCATCTCACACACGATCCTAGGGGACAGGGAAGGTCAGGGCCGGCCTCGGAGCAGCAGCCTGGGTGCCCGCCCAGCCACACTCACCTCTCGGCACTGATGTACTCAGCGGGAATGGAATTGCAACGCACGCCGGCCACCCGAAGGCCTACCTCTCGGTAGGTGAGGCCTAGGTTCTCACCCTCGATGGTGACACGGGTGCCTCCCTCCTTGGGCCCCATGAGCGGGTGAATCTGCAGAGCAGGACAGGAGGTGAGAGGGTGAGCCGGACCGCTGGGTGTCTCGTATGCGGAAGGTGAGAGGCTCACCTGGGTGATGCGGGGGTGGCTACAGCGGGTGCCCTTCTGGCTCGGGTGCATCCAGTTGGTCTTGGGGGCCAGACAGTGGGCACGCAGCTGGCACCTGTGCTCCGAGATGCACCAGCCACAGGGGAAGCGGGGGTCGGCCTTGAGGCAGAGGCCGCAGCTGGGTCGCTGTGCCCAGCATTTATACAGGATAGCTGCGGGCACAGGGGGCACTGCTGGGGGCGGCTATGGGGAGCCAGGGCCACTCAGGGTCCCCCTGTTAGACCTGGCCCCAGTTCATGCCAACTCTGCCCCAGGAGGCAAGCTCCTCCACCCCATCTTTTTTTTAAAATACATTTTTATTGATTTCAGAGAGGAAGGGAGAGGGAGAAAGAGAAATATCAATGATGAGAATCATTGATTGGCTGCCTCCTGCATGCCCCCCCGCCCCCCCCCTCCTGGGGACAGAGCCCGCAACCTGGGCATCTGCCTTTGAGCGGGAATTGAACCATGACTTCCTGGTTCATAGGCTGACGCTCAACCAATGAGCCATGTTGGTTGGGAGCCTACGCCCCATCTTGCCCCTCACCTCGGAAGGTGGCAGGCTTGTCGATAGGGAAATCGCCATCCCAGACCACAGAGAAGTCCAGCTCAGTGTCACCATACTCGTCACCTTCATAGGAGTACTGGGGGAGAGGGACCACACGACCCCT